GAAACTGCAACTCGAAAATCCAACTCGAAATCCTAACTCGAAAATCCAACTCGAAATCCTAACTCGGAAGTTAGTTTGTCTCTTTGCCATCAGGTGCTAAGCTCTAAATTAAAGTGCGACTTGAGATTTTCAAGTGCACTTGAGTCAACTGCTTACTGCTTCAGGTGTGAAGCCAACTAATGTTTAATACGCAACAACAAAAAAGCCAACATAAATAAGCGAAACTTCGTTAGTTGCAAACGCGTTAACGAATTCCACGAGTTCAACCGTTTTAGGAAATTCCCAACAGAGGGCGCTATGATTCTCTCAAAACATGATAATGTTGGGGTTTACGGTCGTTAGCAGGTGTGAGTGATATCTTTGTTTGAATTCAGATCATTTCAGCGATTTTTGGCATCAAAAAGTCAAATGAACTTCGTCATTAAAAGAACTACAGCCGTGTATACAGACGTATCGCTACGTAAATACAGTGTCAACACAAAACAGGCATAATCAAGGTGTCAACTCTCTGTCTAAACCTCAAGGTGGCACAAACACAAAATAAAACCGCACGGCTGAAAGCACACCTTTGCGAAAGCTTTGGCGAGTACATAAGCAGGTTTAAGTGGCCGTAAACACCACTTTCAAGAGGAATCACTAATGTGAATTATTACTTAGACCTTCAATCAGCGATCGACTTAAAGAGATTTACATCGCTGAGACAAAAGGTAAAAGGTAGAAATCCGGTTTGAAAGAAAAAAATAAATACTATTATCGACAAGTAATAAAAAAACTGTGGGACAAAATCGCACTTTTTATCTCATATCTGCCCTGGGGTGATCTCTGTCCATGAATTAAAAGACAGAGTTATTAGTTAGCAATTCAAAAAGAAATGTACTATTGTTTGGTAGCTATAAAAAGCTCTCTTAAAAGCTCTCTTTTGATACAAAATTGAAATTTCACTCATTGTCAAACCGGACGAAAACCAAGATTTCCTGTTTTCATTTTTTTTAAAGTTTGAAACTTAAAATTTTCAGACATTAAACTAAGTAAGATAGTCTAGATTAAGAAAAAAAAACGACAGCCATGTCACAGAAAAGACAAGCTGTAAATATTTCAGGCTTTTGATCTAAAGAAACTGTACTGCAAGGGGAAAAAAAATAAACACACAAAGGCAAGGGATGTCAAGAAAGTAAAACAATTGTATATTTATGTATTTCTAGCTTAATAGGATGCGCTAGTTGGCCTTTTTCTAATTCTGCGCTGTCACTTTTTTCGATTAAAAACCTGAATGCATATTAACCTGGCTGAAAATCTTTGCGAGACACTGGTTATGAACTTGGGCGCATTGAGTTCAAAATTCGCGGTTTTGGTTTAATGTTCTCGACAACATGTTAATGACACATGCGAAACATCGAAGAAGTTTGTAACATTATTTACCAAACAAAAGTTTGGCTATTGTTAGCCAGTTTATAGGGTCTTCCTGCAGTTTTGAGAAATCTTGAAACAGATCGAGCACGGGGTTCCTTGAAGAGAACGCCATGCTCTATTCAAAGCAAAATGATAATAATATTTAGAACAATAAACTCTCGTACATCCTGGTGAATTTATTCACAAGCCGCCAATGCACAGCAATATTCTCATTTATCAGAGAACAAATAATGTAATCAAGTACAGCTTGAAACCCCAAGCGATATGGTGAAAATCATGAATACAGCTGCCGTAGCGGCGACGATAGTTAGCGAACACGGGCCTTTTTTTTCCTTAGACAAAACGTAAGAAAACACGCTTGAAAACGTTCTCTAATCTGATACTAATATTCGGAGAGTCATTTCAAAAGCAAAAGTTCTGTCAAACACTCATAGCCTCTGACAAGGTCATTGTGTGAATGGAAAAGGACAGAAAAATACAAAAAACAACAACAAAAAAATCATTTCTTCTCTTAGCACAAACGAGCGAATTACGTTCGCTTGAGATTTGGAAAGTGCACGAGGAATGAAAATTTCTTCGGTTGAGCTGAGCCAGTACGGCCAAAGTAATCATCAAAGCAAGACCCATGTCAGGATTTACAGCTTGACAAATGAATATTATAATGAGAAAGGAAACTTATTCAAAGTGCGGTGAGCGCACGGCGACAGTACATTGTAACAACGAGGCTGCGTTTCGAAAGCGCGCGAAAAAAATAACCCGGCCGTTTTATTACCGTATCCTACGCGTCCTATTTAATACATACCTTCGAAGGTTCCTTTCCTCCGATTCCAAGAAGCTTTCTGCATTTTAAACGACTCTGGGCATCATCAAAGCTGCGCCTGTCAGTGAACAAACAGTGCTAACATGAATACAAACAGCTTCAAAATCGGCGACATTGTTCCCTTTAGCAAAATTTGCCCAATTCCGATTTCAATGCGTTTTGGTAATGCGCGTGTAATGTACAATTGCACTGGCTTTCCTGAACGGCAGTTCTTGTTGCGTCGAGATAAAAAACAGAAATCTTTATCCGCATTAAAAAAAATAAGAAAATATGCATGCTACAAATAAAGAAAATACACCAAATTGAAGATCGCAACATGATATATATTCACACATATTTTGCTTTCTGGAACAAAACAAAACCGATATAAACAGTACAAATTTTTGCGTTCCGAAGTAAAACACTTAAAATGCGTTAAATAACACGCGATCTGCCTGCACGTCGCCATGATTTTGAGGTCAACGCAGAAAATTAACCGCATAAGTCTGGCTGGCGTAATATGTCGCAGGCCGATATTTCACGGCTATATTTGCGCTAACATTTATAGCGCGAAGCTAAATACGATCAAATCGCCTCCCCTGCAAGAGATAAATTAATACTCGAGCGTACCTTTTTGCGATAAAAGGCATAGCGGAGATGAATAAGATATGGGCGAGTCGACTTCGCGATTTTAGGAATTGGAACGGATGGTGATATCAAATCAAAATACTGATCCGCCGAGGAAACGCGAATGAAAACAGAACGCTAGCGGAGTTATCGATCGACAAAGTCGTTCAACTGTCCACATAAACGAATTAGAGCCATCTTAATAAAAACCTTTAGAAACTCTAATAAGTAAGATTTCGCATCAAAGGGCAGAAACGACGGGCTACATAGCCCGATGACAGTACGAATTAACACAAGTATAAGATATTTACAACAAGCAATCATTTGATCGAGCTGAGAAAACGCGCTAAGCTATCAAAACACAAGGCATGCGAAATTCTATGGCGAAATTTAGCTCATACTTCTCTGTCTTCACCAGGGCCGGTCGTTTATTCTCCGTGGACATCGTACGCCAATTACGAACAAACTATTGGACCGATGTTTTCGAGTTGCGAACTATAACTTACTCCCGATACCGACTTGCGCGAAGTGGTACTAACAGGGGAGGGCTGGAGCAGAAATTGTTCCGCGAATTATCCAAATATCTATTCTGGCGCTTTCGACGCATGGGGAATATTCATAATTTCGATTGAACGAATGAAATCCGTGCCTGATGTGATAACACAACATTAAGTTTGTATAACATAGTTAAGAAAAAATAAAAACACTGCTGTTTAATAAAATGAAGTAATGAGTGGAGCTGTCAATCTTGCAATAAAAAATAAAATGATAAAAAAAAAAACAAAAAAACAAAACAAATGGCAGATTGTAGCTAAAACTGGAAAAATACGTCTCCAATTTCGCTTTCATCGAGCTTTTAGGCTAACCGCTTGATTGATATTGCAAAAAATACTCCACGGCCGATCTGCTGCTTTTAGATTTTAGGAGTAATTATTTTGGGCAAAAGAGTAATGTAACATGCAAATTTTCGACTGTTTTAAACTCTAAAAATCCCTTGTTAATTAAAAAAACGCCGTGTTTCCACACTCCGTTCGTCAGGTCACCACGCTACTACCAAAGCAGAACATGAAACGAACTCCATCAACAAAAGCGCGGATTATAACACTTCCGATTTGCCAAGATATTCTCACAGCGATTTCAACCTCATCTTCAACGTTTGATCATTCGGGGAAAACATAACTAACTTTCTTCCGCAAAAGGAATACTTTTCGTCAAGGTCTGTTAGCCCCCTCCTTGATGCAATTACAGTCTGTTGAAGATCAGTAATATATTCAAAATAGATCACAATTCGTATATATCTGTTGTTTCCATCTTTCAGATTCGTATTGATTTCGGTCAGCTGAAAATGTTTCACCACTCGTTTACGCAAAATATTTTTTAGTGGCCCTCGAAACAGTTGTCATTTCGCAGAGGCGAAATTGTAAATCTTGGTCTGTGATAATTGTGAACGTTGATCGTGTTTGTAGAAACACGGCTTGGCCATTGGGGTGGATTTAGGTGAAGCCGCATCGAAAACGAAATCGAAGCGAAATCGCAAACGATGTGAGGCGCTAAGGCAGGAAATTAAAACACTATTTAGAAAGCAAAAGAATAGCAACTTACTTCAATCTTCCCAGCATGACCAATTCTGACTCGGTAAAACCGCAGTAAAGCTGAGGGAAAACGTGGGAATCGTCCCGATCGAGAGAATATAGGTTACTAATCAATTCCAATCCATGGACCTGACAGAGCAAATGTTGACGTCTCGTTATGCCTCTAATTCGCCGCTTCGCTCAATGTTTTACGGGCAGTGACGTGTGTGTCAATTATATTGCGAGGGATAGAGGAACACAGCAGCTAGGCAGCTGGTAAATTCGCCGCTTGACTCAAACCTTCTCTGATAAAATAAAGAAAGAACTTCACTCGTCAAAGTCTGGAGATGGTATCGAAATTTTTTAACGCGTTTTCGTGAATAAGTCAAGCAGCAGGCTTCTCTTCAGGAAAACGATCGAATGGTCATAAATATGTGGGTTTATTTAACATATTCCAACGTATTTGCATGAAATCCACATTATTTGCATGAAATCCACATTGAAACAACCAGGAAACATCAAACTCCCGGATGCAAGGTAGACAACCTTGAAATTGACTAAATCAAAAGAAACATCTTTTAATATTCACGTTTGGTAAATGTTAGTACAAAAACTGGGTCGAAACAATCAGATATATTTGAGACGAGGTGACATATCAATATGTATTCATGAAAATAATGACATTCTTCTTGGTCTCCGGTCCAAATTCGTTTCTTTTCAATCACATAGAGGACAAAACCGTCAGACTGCAATATCACTTGCATCATTAGAAAAATGTAACCAATCAGATTTCGAAATGATTCTACGAACGTCACTTCTCAATCGAAAGTTCTTGGTATGACAACAGACAGGTAGACCGATTAAAAGACGCAAATTGATCTCTCTCTATCCTCAAACACGGCTTGATACATTATAAAAATCTTTCTCATACATACAAACAAAACTAAATAATAGGTATTTTGTTTTTTCCACGGCCATTCAAACCGTTGGTTTGTTGATAACATTTTTCGTGTACTAACGAACACACATAATCTCTTTTTGCGAGTGTTTTTCGGTGTAGTCGAAGGTCCGTTGACCTCTTGGCCTTGGGAAATAAAATTGTCGCAGATTGTCGGCGATTAGTCTGGACGAAAAACTATTAATTAAGGCAAATCGAAGACATCCAACGTCGTTCCCACAAGGGAGAAATGCCCTGGGAACTAGAAGCCAGTGAAACTCAGCCAGACCCCCCATTCTCGTTCCCAGAGCCATCTGTCTCTCTTAGCCGGCAGGGCCTTGGTGTCAATGTATGTTAACAGCGAAAGGCATTGAAGTCGGGCAACTTTTCTCACTGGAGACGACATTAAAAATTCCCGAAAGAGGCGTTACAATTCTAAAAACCATATCGAATTGTAAAAAGAGAAAAATATGAAACGTGTTGTGTCTCCAAGCTTTTAATCAGGCGCCAAAAATGGGTCTCCCGCGTCCGTCCACTCGCTCGTCGAGTATCGCCAGGTAGGGTAATAGCCAGTTATGATGTTTTGAACAAAGTATGTTGCGCATCGTTAAATTAAAACCATAATTCTCGAGTTAACATAAACATACAATCTGACATAGCAATTTTTCTTGGACAAAAGGCGCAGTGAGGTTAACCCTATGTTAAATATTAGAAGAGGCCTAAGCGACTTTAGCATTGTCTTTATTTTTGTCAGCTGCGAAGAACTTGAAAAGACTATTATGGTGTCGTTTCGGTAGGACAGCTGGGTCGCTCGGCCGCTCGTTCCGCGGGCGCTCTCGCCGTATGCGAGGACAGCGTCTTCAGAATGTTTTTTGTATAGGGGCACTACCCGGACAGTAGCGTCGCGTAGCCCTGCCTCTCATTGACGTGACCTCAATCAGGTTCAAAATAAATGTAAATTTCAAGACCAATAAGAAAGTTATCTGTAGAGACAACGTGGTTCCATTCTAACTGATTAATCGTTGATAACAAAATAAGTGTATTTCGAGAGGCAAGATAGCCGTTCTTACATCTGATAGCTAAAATGAAGGCATATGGCGAGAGGTAGTTGGAGATACATCATTCCTGCTTCAAATGTTGCTAGCCTGAGTGACAACGAACGCAGGCGAACTTGGCAGAGTTGCTTAGCGAAACAGGAGCAAGTTCGCGGCGTTCGGGAAACGCCATCCTGTTTAATCTTCCAAGTCATTTTATTTCCTTTTTACTGGCCATCGGAAGTAAGCGACATCAAGAAAGTTATATTGGAAGCAAAACAAATTGAAAAAACAAAACAAACAAAAACGAAAAAACAAAAAAAACGGTCATTAGACCAAGGTGATCTGTTTCAGGAACTTGCTCCTTAGCTTCATGGCGGAGCTAAATTGAAACGGGCCTCTTTCTGTCGCGCCCAGATCGCCTCTCTACCGACGTTTCATCCCTTAACGGGGGTATGTATACGAATAAGGTATCAAAACGAGAATCTATATGGTTTTTATGCAACATAACCCGGCGGAGACCCAGAATAACTATATGAGCTTGTTTGTCTTGGATGATAAGAGGACTGATTCTCACGGGCTTGACCTTGAAAAGCACAATAGGCTTTTCTTAATCCAGCTTGTGCTGTTTATTGTTATAGAGGAAGCTACAAAAGATAAACATCGTGTCATTTCGAAGTTTCTTAGGGTCAAAGGTGAGGTGTTTCCTCGCGGAAACTTCGCGTTGTCAGCTTTGCTTTTCTTCGATCGGATTTAATTTGGGGGTGATAAAAAACCGAGGACAAAGTCTACTGGAGGCCTAATTTTAGATTCGCCATAAATCGTTATTTTTGACAGTTTTTCGGTGAATCACTTTAAGCTTTTCATAACGAGTAATGAACGAAGCTCCCCTATAAACTTGTGCACAATCCGTAAGTCAGATAAAAGTGTTTGTCTCTCAAGCTGTGTTAGACATCACTGTCAAATATAGAGGAATCTCACAAATTTGAACTCCCTCTTTCTCAGATTATTAGCAAAATCTCTGAATTTTTTGCTCTCAAAGCCAAATATATAGTTTTAGAAACACACTTATGGCTGTTAGCTTAAAGGAGCTCAATCACGGTATTTTGAGTTATTTTGGCCAAGTACAAAATTATCTTTAAATAAACAATTTAAATAATAAATTGTTTATTTAAATAAACACCAAAGAGAAGAGATAATAATAAACCATCAAGGAACAAGGATGGTTGCAACGGATTACAAACGACGAACTTGAAATATTTAGGCCAAACTTTTCAAGACGCGCAAACCGTGCGATCGATTCCTTTGATTTGTTTTCTCTGGGTGTGGATAAAAAAGCTGAGATATCATTTTTTTTCAGTTTCCTGCCACAGGACAACCTTCCACTTTCTTCAATTTAAACTACAGTTGTTCAGTTGGAGTTCTTTATCGAGCATGTGTACTCTGGCTTACCTCCTGACAGCATAGTCTTTGTACACATCCGGGGCACTCAATCTCACTGGGTCGGCCATGTTGCTATCGTCGATGTCCTGGCCGTCTTGTTTCTCTTCTATAGACTCAGTGTCCTCCTGTTGGAGAGATGAAAACTTGCTGAAACAAGCATCACTAAACAGAAAGAATTTCCTTTCGTTCCTTTAAAGCATATCACTTGGAAAGAGTGAAAAGCAACGGCAAAAATGCTTCCTCGTCGGAAAATCGTCATCTTCCCCAGGGATAAAACATCGCTTGCAGCAGTTTTCAGAGATTGCTATAAAATTTTCCGGAGATGGGATAATTTGCATTCCAGCCAGTGCTAGTAATCGGTAATAATTATGTCTACATCTTCAATACAGAGCAGGATTCGACCAACCGTGAGGTATTCTTTCTGTAGAGTCGAGTTTGACAGCAGGAACTTTGCACGTGCAGTATAAATATATGAATAATACACTAGAATAGAAAATGGATTTCTGTGAAGGATTTCAACGACCGGGCGAAAAATGAAACAACGCAACCTTGGTCAAGAGGGACGATGAAAACACTTCAAGTGAATTTAGACAAACGGTATCTTCTTTAAGCTGTACTGACGTATGACTTGACTGAGCCACTCTTGATATTCGGTCTGCTGAGGGCGATTACAGTTCTATTTTAGAATCAAAAACAACTCTTGAACCAGGCATGCATGACAGGAAAAAAGCTCGACTGACGTTTGAAGGCTGTTTCACGAATACGCTGCTTGTCCCATGCCAGATGTCCGTGATTTTAAATAAAAGAGTGTCTAGTTTTGTTATCAAAACCGCGAAAAGTTCGTGTGTATTCTCCTCGTCAGCTGAAAAATTCCTGATTTTCCGTCTCCCAAAATAAAATATTTGATCGATAGCAATCAGTAAGATAAATCTGGTGTTTAACCTCGAGTGCATTCTTTTCTTGACCTATCTAAGTCATATGAGCTGAAATAACTTCTAATTTGTTTACTTCTGTGGACATAGACATTAAAAATTTAGCTATTCATCTGTTATCGACTGTTTTTTTTATCGATAATTTAGCATGGAATTCAACCAAGCGTTCAGCTGAAATGAAGCGAACAGACGCGACGAACACAAATATCAAAGGCTAGAACTTGATTCAAGTAAAGTCACGCAAAATATTCTGATAAAACTGGCAAGAAGTTTGTTTTCTTCAGAATCTTAGTTACAAACCTATGTTTACTTATAGTCTTTGAGAACAAGAGCTTTGAAGAAATGGCTCAAACTCAAAGTAAACTCACGAAATTAAGAATTAAGATATATCTCTGCTGGCTGAAGTATGTATCAGATTAATAAACATACAAGGTGAAATTCGAAGTAAAACTAAAAGAACTTCGCTGTATACCAAGTTTACATTCACACCAAACCGTAGAAGAAGAAAGTGAACATCTTTAAGGAATGAAATCTTACCTAGTCAACTGAGCGAAGCACGTCTCACTTGTTGAAGGCAGTTACGAGATGTAAATGATTATCACCTTCGAGGACTAAGTCAGGTCAACGAGTTATATTGCCCTCTGTGCTCACCGGTTTCGCAAATCGATGATCGCGGTGATGCGGTGCAAAATCGCATTTCACGCCCGAGCGCCCGGGTGATCACGCGATGCAAATAAATGATCGGGTAATCTTCGGTTAACACTCGGCAGGCATTTTCGACGATCCCTAACACGACTTTTCCACGAAAGGAGTTCTCGGTATTTTCTCGGAGGCGCGTAAACAAAACGCGGAAAATTAACTGGAGGTTTCTGCGTTGTCGCTGTGATCAGCGACAACGCAGAAACTTATTATTCATCAGCTATGACTGCTTATAGGCTACTTTGTCTTCCATCTCTGTTTTGACAAGAGATCGGTACTGATGCCATGACATGCGACCAGTTCAAAGACCTTCTCACACCTGGATCATGGATCGCGTGACCTTCCCACACCCGCATAGCGTGACCTTCGCGATCGTTCGCGTGACTTTCGAGATTGATCATGTGATTCTCGCGCACACTATTTTTGTAGTCTATAAAAAGCTCGAAGTCAAAAAAGTTTTGGTCTGAACACAAAGCGCTTGCTGTCATCTCAAGATATCGATTGTAATAGAGTTTATCGATAATGTAAATTCTTCTTTCAGGCCTGATATCAGTAAAGAAAAAAAAGACTTAAAATCAACTCCATTATCTGAAACGACACAACCGTGTTTACATACTCTCATGTAAACACACCTATCTACCAATGAGAGCGCGAGTAGTAGCTCAGTTATTTTATAAAAGTAAATCTCGAATACGAACTAAACTTGCATTTCGATTACCTGTACTGTGTAATTTTATCAGTGTCAAGTTATCGAAACACGACTGAGGACGAAAATGGGATCGAACTTCCACTTCCCGGGGGGGGTAAATCCAACTCGAAATCCTAACTCGAAAATCCAACTCGAAATCCTAACTCGGAAGTTAGTTTGTCTCTTTGCCATCAGGTGCTAAGCTCTAAATTAAAGTGCGACTTGAGATTTTCAAGTGCACTTGAGTCAACTGCTTACTGCTTCAGGTGTGAAGCCAACTAATGTTTAATACGCAACAACAAAAAAGCCAACATAAATAAGCGAAACTTCGTTAGTTGCAAACGCGTTAACGAATTCCACGAGTTCAACCGTTTTAGGAAATTCCCAACAGAGGGCGCTATGATTCTCTCAAAACATGATAATGTTGGGGTTTACGGTCGTTAGCAGGTGTGAGTGATATCTTTGTTTGAATTCAGATCATTTCAGCGATTTTTGGCATCAAAAAGTCAAATGAACTTCGTCATTAAAAGAACTACAGCCGTGTATACAGACGTATCGCTACGTAAATACAGTGTCAACACAAAACAGGCATAATCAAGGTGTCAACTCTCTGTCTAAACCTCAAGGTGGCACAAACACAAAATAAAACCGCACGGCTGAAAGCACACCTTTGCGAAAGCTTTGGCGAGTACATAAGCAGGTTTAAGTGGCCGTAAACACCACTTTCAAGAGGAATCACTAATGTGAATTATTACTTAGACCTTCAATCAGCGATCGACTTAAAGAGATTTACATCGCTGAGACAAAAGGTAAAAGGTAGAAATCCGGTTTGAAAGAAAAAAATAAATACTATTATCGACAAGTAATAAAAAAACTGTGGGACAAAATCGCACTTTTTATCTCATATCTGCCCTGGGGTGATCTCTGTCCATGAATTAAAAGACAGAGTTATTAGTTAGCAATTCAAAAAGAAATGTACTATTGTTTGGTAGCTATAAAAAGCTCTCTTAAAAGCTCTCTTTTGATACAAAATTGAAATTTCACTCATTGTCAAACCGGACGAAAACCAAGATTTCCTGTTTTCATTTTTTTTAAAGTTTGAAACTTAAAATTTTCAGACATTAAACTAAGTAAGATAGTCTAGATTAAGAAAAAAAAACGACAGCCATGTCACAGAAAAGACAAGCTGTAAATATTTCAGGCTTTTGATCTAAAGAAACTGTACTGCAAGGGGAAAAAAAATAAACACACAAAGGCAAGGGATGTCAAGAAAGTAAAACAATTGTATATTTATGTATTTCTAGCTTAATAGGATGCGCTAGTTGGCCTTTTTCTAATTCTGCGCTGTCACTTTTTTCGATTAAAAACCTGAATGCATATTAACCTGGCTGAAAATCTTTGCGAGACACTGGTTATGAACTTGGGCGCATTGAGTTCAAAATTCGCGGTTTTGGTTTAATGTTCTCGACAACATGTTAATGACACATGCGAAACATCGAAGAAGTTTGTAACATTATTTACCAAACAAAAGTTTGGCTATTGTTAGCCAGTTTATAGGGTCTTCCTGCAGTTTTGAGAAATCTTGAAACAGATCGAGCACGGGGTTCCTTGAAGAGAACGCCATGCTCTATTCAAAGCAAAATGATAATAATATTTAGAACAATAAACTCTCGTACATCCTGGTGAATTTATTCACAAGCCGCCAATGCACAGCAATATTCTCATTTATCAGAGAACAAATAATGTAATCAAGTACAGCTTGAAACCCCAAGCGATATGGTGAAAATCATGAATACAGCTGCCGTAGCGGCGACGATAGTTAGCGAACACGGGCCTTTTTTTTCCTTAGACAAAACGTAAGAAAACACGCTTGAAAACGTTCTCTAATCTGATACTAATATTCGGAGAGTCATTTCAAAAGCAAAAGTTCTGTCAAACACTCATAGCCTCTGACAAGGTCATTGTGTGAATGGAAAAGGACAGAAAAATACAAAAAACAACAACAAAAAAATCATTTCTTCTCTTAGCACAAACGAGCGAATTACGTTCGCTTGAGATTTGGAAAGTGCACGAGGAATGAAAATTTCTTCGGTTGAGCTGAGCCAGTACGGCCAAAGTAATCATCAAAGCAAGACCCATGTCAGGATTTACAGCTTGACAAATGAATATTATAATGAGAAAGGAAACTTATTCAAAGTGCGGTGAGCGCACGGCGACAGTACATTGTAACAACGAGGCTGCGTTTCGAAAGCGCGCGAAAAAAATAACCCGGCCGTTTTATTACCGTATCCTACGCGTCCTATTTAATACATACCTTCGAAGGTTCCTTTCCTCCGATTCCAAGAAGCTTTCTGCATTTTAAACGACTCTGGGCATCATCAAAGCTGCGCCTGTCAGTGAACAAACAGTGCTAACATGAATACAAACAGCTTCAAAATCGGCGACATTGTTCCCTTTAGCAAAATTTGCCCAATTCCGATTTCAATGCGTTTTGGTAATGCGCGTGTAATGTACAATTGCACTGGCTTTCCTGAACGGCAGTTCTTGTTGCGTCGAGATAAAAAACAGAAATCTTTATCCGCATTAAAAAAAATAAGAAAATATGCATGCTACAAATAAAGAAAATACACCAAATTGAAGATCGCAACATGATATATATTCACACATATTTTGCTTTCTGGAACAAAACAAAACCGATATAAACAGTACAAATTTTTGCGTTCCGAAGTAAAACACTTAAAATGCGTTAAATAACACGCGATCTGCCTGCACGTCGCCATGATTTTGAGGTCAACGCAGAAAATTAACCGCATAAGTCTGGCTGGCGTAATATGTCGCAGGCCGATATTTCACGGCTATATTTGCGCTAACATTTATAGCGCGAAGCTAAATACGATCAAATCGCCTCCCCTGCAAGAGATAAATTAATACTCGAGCGTACCTTTTTGCGATAAAAGGCATAGCGGAGATGAATAAGATATGGGCGAGTCGACTTCGCGATTTTAGGAATTGGAACGGATGGTGATATCAAATCAAAATACTGATCCGCCGAGGAAACGCGAATGAAAACAGAACGCTAGCGGAGTTATCGATCGACAAAGTCGTTCAACTGTCCACATAAACGAATTAGAGCCATCTTAATAAAAACCTTTAGAAACTCTAATAAGTAAGATTTCGCATCAAAGGGCAGAAACGACGGGCTACATAGCCCGATGACAGTACGAATTAACACAAGTATAAGATATTTACAACAAGCAATCATTTGATCGAGCTGAGAAAACGCGCTAAGCTATCAAAACACAAGGCATGCGAAATTCTATGGCGAAATTTAGCTCATACTTCTCTGTCTTCACCAGGGCCGGTCGTTTATTCTCCGTGGACATCGTACGCCAATTACGAACAAACTATTGGACCGATGTTTTCGAGTTGCGAACTATAACTTACTCCCGATACCGACTTGCGCGAAGTGGTACTAACAGGGGAGGGCTGGAGCAGAAATTGTTCCGCGAATTATCCAAATATCTATTCTGGCGCTTTCGACGCATGGGGAATATTCATAATTTCGATTGAACGAATGAAATCCGTGCCTGATGTGATAACACAACATTAAGTTTGTATAACATAGTTAAGAAAAAATAAAAACACTGCTGTTTAATAAAATGAAGTAATGAGTGGAGCTGTCAATCTTGCAATAAAAAATAAAATGATAAAAAAAAAAACAAAAAAACAAAACAAATGGCAGATTGTAGCTAAAACTGGAAAAATACGTCTCCAATTTCGCTTTCATCGAGCTTTTAGGCTAACCGCTTGATTGATATTGCAAAAAATACTCCACGGCCGATCTGCTGCTTTTAGATTTTAGGAGTAATTATTTTGGGCAAAAGAGTAATGTAACATGCAAATTTTCGACTGTTTTAAACTCTAAAAATCCCTTGTTAATTAAAAAAACGCCGTGTTTCCACACTCCGTTCGTCAGGTCACCACGCTACTACCAAAGCAGAACATGAAACGAACTCCATCAACAAAAGCGCGGATTATAACACTTCCGATTTGCCAAGATATTCTCACAGCGATTTCAACCTCATCTTCAACGTTTGATCATTCGGGGAAAACATAACTAACTTTCTTCCGCAAAAGGAATACTTTTCGTCAAGGTCTGTTAGCCCCCTCCTTGATGCAATTACAGTCTGTTGAAGATCAGTAATATATTCAAAATAGATCACAATTCGTATATATCTGTTGTTTCCATCTTTCAGATTCGTATTGATTTCGGTCAGCTGAAAATGTTTCACCACTCGTTTACGCAAAATATTTTTTAGTGGCCCTCGAAACAGTTGTCATTTCGCAGAGGCGAAATTGTAAATCTTGGTCTGTGATAATTGTGAACGTTGATCGTGTTTGTAGAAACACGGCTTGGCCATTGGGGTGGATTTAGGTGAAGCCGCATCGAAAACGAAATCGAAGCGAAATCGCAAACGATGTGAGGCGCTAAGGCAGGAAATTAAAACACTATTTAGAAAGCAAAAGAATAGCAACTTACTTCAATCTTCCCAGCATGACCAATTCTGACTCGGTAAAACCGCAGTAAAGCTGAGGGAAAACGTGGGAATCGTCCCGATCGAGAGAATATAGGTTACTAATCAATTCCAATCCATGGACCTGACAGAGCAAATGTTGACGTCTCGTTATGCCTCTAATTCGCCGCTTCGCTCAATGTTTTACGGGCAGTGACGTGTGTGTCAATTATATTGCGAGGGATAGAGGAACACAGCAGCTAGGCAGCTGGTAAATTCGCCGCTTGACTCAAACCTTCTCTGATAAAATAAAGAAAGAACTTCACTCGTCAAAGTCTGGAGATGGTATCGAAATTTTTTAACGCGTTTTCGTGAATAAGTCAAGCAGCAGGCTTCTCTTCAGGAAAACGATCGAATGGTCATAAATATGTGGGTTTATTTAACATATTCCAACGTATTTGCATGAAATCCACATTATTTGCATGAAATCCACATTGAAACAACCAGGAAACATCAAACTCCCGGATGCAAGGTAGACAACCTTGAAATTGACTAAATCAAAAGAAACATCTTTTAATATTCACGTTTGGTAAATGTTAGTACAAAAACTGGGTCGAAACAATCAGATATATTTGAGACGAGGTGACATATCAATATGTATTCATGAAAATAATGACATTCTTCTTGGTCTCCGGTCCAAATTCGTTTCTTTTCAATCACATAGAGGACAAAACCGTCAGACTGCAATATCACTTGCATCATTAGAAAAATGTAACCAATCAGATTTCGAAATGATTCTACGAACGTCACTTCTCAATCGAAAGTTCTTGGTATGACAACAGACAGGTAGACCGATTAAAAGACGCAAATTGATCTCTCTCTATCCTCAAACACGGCTTGATACATTATAAAAATCTTTCTCATACATACAAACAAAACTAAATAATAGGTATTTTGTTTTTTCCACGGCCATTCAAACCGTTGGTTTGTTGATAACATTTTTCGTGTACTAACGAACACACATAATCTCTTTTTGCGAGTGTTTTTCGGTGTAGTCGAAGGTCCGTTGACCTCTTGGCCTTGGGAAATAAAATTGTCGCAGATTGTCGGCGATTAGTCTGGACGAAAAACTATTAATTAAGGCAAATCGAAGACATCCAACGTCGTTCCCACAAGGGAGAAATGCCCTGGGAACTAGAAGCCAGTGAAACTCAGCCAGACCCCCCATTCTCGTTCCCAGAGCCATCTGTCTCTCTTAGCCGGCAGGGCCTTGGTGTCAATGTATGTTAACAGCGAAAGGCATTGAAGTCGGGCAACTTTTCTCACTGGAGACGACATTAAAAATTCCCGAAAGAGGCGTTACAATTCTAAAAACCATATCGAATTGTAAAAAGAGAAAAATATGAAACGTGTTGTGTCTCCAAGCTTTTAATCAGGCGCCAAAAATGGGTCTCCCGCGTCCGTCCACTCGCTCGTCGAGTATCGCCAGGTAGGGTAATAGCCAGTTATGATGTTTTGAACAAAGTATGTTGCGCATCGTTAAATTAAAACCATAATTCTCGAGTTAACATAAACATACAATCTGACATAGCAATTTTTCTTGGACAAAAGGCGCAGTGAGGTTAACCCTATGTTAAATATTAGAAGAGGCCTAAGCGACTTTAGCATTGTCTTTATTTTTGTCAGCTGCGAAGAACTTGAAAAGACTATTATGGTGTCGTTTCGGTAGGACAGCTGGGTCGCTCGGCCGCTCGTTCCGCGGGCGCTCTCGCCGTATGCGAGGACAGCGTCTTCAGAATGTTTTTTGTATAGGGGCACTACCCGGACAGTAGCGTCGCGTAGCCCTGCCTCTCATTGACGTGACCTCAATCAGGTTCAAAATAAATGTAAATTTCAAGACCAATAAGAAAGTTATCTGTAGAGACAACGTGGTTCCATTCTAACTGATTAATCGTTGATAACAAAATAAGTGTATTTCGAGAGGCAAGATAGCCGTTCTTACATCTGATAGCTAAAATGAAGGCATATGGCGAGAGGTAGTTGGAGATACATCATTCCTGCTTCAAATGTTGCTAGCCTGAGTGACAACGAACGCAGGCGAACTTGGCAGAGTTGCTTAGCGAAACAGGAGCAAGTTCGCGGCGTTCGGGAAACGCCATCCTGTTTAATCTTCCAAGTCATTTTATTTCCTTTTTACTGGCCATCGGAAGTAAGCGACATCAAGAAAGTTATATTGGAAGCAAAACAAATCGAAAAAACAAAACAAACAAAAACGAAAAAACAAAAAAACGGTCATTAGACCAAGGTGATCTGTTTCAGGAACTTGCTCCTTAGCTTCATGGCGGAGCTAAATTGAAACGGGCCTCTTTCTGTCGCGCCCAGATCGCCTCTCTACCGACGTTTCATCCCTTAACGGGGGTATGTATACGAATAAGGTATCAAAACGAGAATCTATATGGTTTTTATGCAACATAACCCGGCGGAGACCCAGAATAACTATATGAGCTTGTTTGTCTTGGATGATAAGAGGACTGATTCTCACGGGCTTGACCTTGAAAAGCACAATAGGCTTTTCTTAATCCAGCTTGTGCTGTTTATTGTTATAGAGGAAGCTACAAAAGATAAACATCGTGTCATTTCGAAGTTTCTTAGGGTCAAAGGTGAGGTGTTTCCTCGCGGAAACTTCGCGTTGTCAGCTTTGCTTTTCTTCGATCGGATTTAATTTGGGGGTGATAAAAAACCGAGGACAAAGTCTACTGGAGGCCTAATTTTAGATTCGCCATAAATCGTTATTTTTGACAGTTTTTCGGTGAATCACTTTAAGCTTTTCATAACGAGTAATGAACGAAGCTCCCCTATAAACTTGTGCACAATCCGTAAGTCAGATAAAAGTGTTTGTCTCTCAAGCTGTGTTAGACATCACTGTCAAATATAGAGGAATCTCACAAATTTGAACTCCCTCTTTCTCAGATTATTAGCAAAATCTCTGAATTTTTTGCTCTCAAAGCCAAATATATAGTTTTAGAAACACACTTATGGCTGTTAGCTTAAAGGAGCTCAATCACGGTATTTTGAGTTATTTTGGCCAAGTACAAAATTATCTTTAAATAAACAATTTAAATAATAAATTGTTTATTTAAATAAACACCAAAGAGAAGAGATAATAATAAACCATCAAGGAACAAGGATGGTTGCAACGGATTACAAACGACGAACTTGAAATATTTAGGCCAAACTTTTCAAGACGCGCAAACCGTGCGATCGATTCCTTTGATTTGTTTTCTCTGGGTGTGGATAAAAAAGCTGAGATATCATTTTTTTTCAGTTTCCTGCCACAGGACAACCTTCCACTTTCTTCAATTTAAACTACAGTTGTTCAGTTGGAGTTCTTTATCGAGCATGTGTACTCTGGCTTACCTCCTGACAGCATAGTCTTTGTACACATCCGGGGCACTCAATCTCACTGGGTCGGCCATGTTGCTATCGTCGATGTCCTGGCCGTCTTGTTTCTCTTCTATAGACTCAGTGTCCTCCTGTTGGAGAGATGAAAACTTGCTGAAACAAGCATCACTAAACAGAAAGAATTTCCTTTCGTTCCTTTAAAGCATATCACTTGGAAAGAGTGAAAAGCAACGGCAAAAATGCTTCCTCGTCGGAAAATCGTCATCTTCCCCAGGGATAAAACATCGCTTGCAGCAGTTTTCAGAGATTGCTATAAAATTTTCCGGAGATGGGATAATTTGCATTCCAGCCAGTGCTAGTAATCGGTAATAATTATGTCTACATCTTCAATACAGAGCAGGATTCGACCAACCGTGAGGTATTCTTTCTGTAGAGTCGAGTTTGACAGCAGGAACTTTGCACGTGCAGTATAAATATATGAATAATACACTAGAATAGAAAATGGATTTCTGTGAAGGATTTCAACGACCGGGCGAAAAATGAAACAACGCAACCTTGGTCAAGAGGGACGATGAAAACACTTCAAGTGAATTTAGACAAACGGTATCTTCTTTAAGCTGTACTGACGTATGACTTGACTGAGCCACTCTTGATATTCGGTCTGCTGAGGGCGATTACAGTTCTATTTTAGAATCAAAAACAACTCTTGAACCAGGCATGCATGACAGGAAAAAAGCTCGACTGACGTTTGAAGGCTGTTTCACGAATACGCTGCTTGTCCCATGCCAGATGTCCGTGATTTTAAATAAAAGAGTGTCTAGTTTTGTTATCAAAACCGCGAAAAGTTCGTGTGTATTCTCCTCGTCAGCTGAAAAATTCCTGATTTTCCGTCTCCCAAAATAAAATATTTGATCGATAGCAATCAGTAAGATAAATCTGGTGTTTAACCTCGAGTGCATTCTTTTCTTGACCTATCTAAGTCATATGAGCTGAAATAACTTCTAATTTGTTTACTTCTGTGGACATAGACATTAAAAATTTAGCTATTCATCTGTTATCGACTGTTTTTTTTATCGATAATTTAGCATGGAATTCAACCAAGCGTTCAGCTGAAATGAAGCGAACAGACGCGACGAACACAAATATCAAAGGCTAGAACTTGATTCAAGTAAAGTCACGCAAAATATTCTGATAAAACTGGCAAGAAGTTTGTTTTCTTCAGAATCTTAGTTACAAACCTATGTTTACTTATAGTCTTTGAGAACAAGAGCTTTGAAGAAATGGCTCAAACTCAAAGTAAACTCACGAAATTAAGAATTAAGATATATCTCTGCTGGCTGAAGTATGTATCAGATTAATAAACATACAAGGTGAAATTCGAAGTAAAACTAAAAGAACTTCGCTGTATACCAAGTTTACATTCACACCAAACCGTAGAAGAAGAAAGTGAACATCTTTAAGGAATGAAATCTTACCTAGTCAACTGAGCGAAGCACGTCTCACTTGTTGAAGGCAGTTACGAGATGTAAATGATTATCACCTTCGAGGACTAAGTCAGGTCAACGAGTTATATTGCCCTCTGTGCTCACCGGTTTCGCAAATCGATGATCGCGGTGAT